GAAACACGCTGGGCACTGTAGAATTCTTCTTAAATTTTCAAAGAAGTATACTTCTTGGAAAATTTCTATCTATTTTCAAGATTTTCAGTACAAAGGGATATTTTTAGTAACTGCGTTTCATTTTCTTCCGTCGACAGATGCTAAGAGTCTCCAGTCTGGGCATCCTCGACTTCAATGGCTCATGGCTCAACTCCCTTGCCATAGACCAACAAAGGGGGAGTCCAGGGGGGCCTGGCCCTCATAGAACTGAAAATAGTATCATATGCCCCCTCCTAAAAAAAAAATAAAATAAAAAATTTCCAGATGTTTTGAATGCAACAATTCGCAAGTATTTTGTGCTGAAAGTATAAAAAGAAAAACATAATTATTCCGCAGAAATTGATGGAATAATTCTTTATGGAAGCTTCAAAATGCGTCCGATTAGTCGTATAAATTGTAAAATTTCTCGGGGGATGCCCCTCAGACCCCCCCCCCTCAGTGCATGGGGCCCGGACCTTAAAACTGGTACCAGGTCCCGATATGGGATGTGGCGAGCCTGCATGAAGGCTATTTCCATTTACATTTTCCGTCACATTCTTACGGCGCAATGATACAACTATTTGAACTCTCCGGAATGCCTGAGGTATCACGCCGCATTTGAAGGCGTTTTCAAAACAGCCAAGTTCCGATAACTGGATTATCGTTTTGCATAGTTCATACTCTTTTGTTATATTCCGTGCCACTTGTTTATTTTTAATCCTCGTAGAAAAACCACCCATTTGTAAATACAATTCTAGCTGAAGCGCACTTCAGCTATGCATTCACCACTGCAAAAATTTTAGCGGAAATCGATACGCCAAGCGTGCATAGAGGCTAATTCCATTTAAATCTTCCGTCACATTCTTACGGCGCAATGATACAACTATTTGAACTCTCCGGAATGCGTAAGGTATCACGCCGCATTTGAAGGCGTTTTCAAAACTGCCAAGTTCCGTTATCGGACTAATCGTTTTGCATAGTTTATATTATTTTGTTTCCATTTCTAACTATTTCTTTAATTATAATCCTCCTATAAAAACCACCCATTTACTAAGTACAATTCTAGCGGAAGCGCACTTAAGCATTTTCATGACTGCAAAACTGTTAACGGAAATCGAAAAGGCCAGCGTGCATGAAGGCTATTTCAATTGCAATCTTCCGTCGCATTTCTAAGGCGCAATGACACAACTATTTGAACTCTCCGGAACGCGTGAGGTATCACGCCGCATTTGATGGCGTTTTTAAAACAGCCAAGTTCCGATACCCGCATTATCGTTTTGCATGGTTCATATTCTTTTGTTACATTCCGTACCATCCGTTTATATTTAATCCTTGTAGAAAAACCACCCATTGGCTAAATACATTTCTAGCCGGAGCACACTTCAGCTATGCATTCACCACTGCAAAAATGTCAAAGGAAATCGACACGCCCAGCGTGCATGGAGGCTATTTCCATTTAAATCGCTACCCGGATTATCGTTTTGCGTAGTTCATATTATATTGTTTCCATTTCTAACCACATGTTTATTTATAATCCTCCTATAAAAACCACCCATTTACTAAGTACAATTCTAGCGGAAGCGCACTTAAGCATTTTCATGACTGCAAAACTGTTAACGGAAATCGAAAAGGCCAGCGTGCATGAAGGCTATTTCAATTGCAATCTTCCGTCGCATTTCTAAGGCGCAATGATACAACGATTTGAACTCTCCGGTATGTGTGAGGTATCACGCCGCATTTGAAGGCGTTTTCTAAACAGCCAAGTTCCGATACCCGCATTATCGTTTTGCATGGTTCATATTTGTTTATGATATTCCGGACCACTCGTTTATATTTAATCCTTGTAGAAAAACCACCCATTGGCTAAATAAAATTCTAGCTAGAGAGCACTTAGGCTATGCATTCACCACTGCAAAAATGTCAAAGGAAATCGACACGCCCAGCGTGCATGGGGGCTATTTCCATTTAAATATTCCGTCACATTCTTACGGCGCAATGATACAACTATTTGAACCCTCCGGAATGCGTGAGGTATCACGCCGCATTTGAAGGCGTTTTCAAAAGTCAAGTTCCGTTATCGGACTAATCGTTTTGAATAGTTCATCTTATTTTGTTTCCGTTTCTAATCACATGTTTATTTGTAATCCTCCTATAAAAACCACCCATTTGTAAATACAATTCTAGCTGAAGCGCACTTCAGCTATGCATTTACCACATGGAGGCTATCTCCATTTAAATCTTTCGTTACATTCTTACGACGCAATGATACAACTATTTGTTCAACTATTCTAGGTTGAGTAAGGTTAGGTTAGGTTAGGTTAGGTTAGGTAAGGTTCAGTTAGATTAGATACATAAAAGTATACGATTTTCTATCATGATGACCTTTAAAACTAATAACGGTCTACCTGCTATTGGACTCCAAGCTCAAACGAAGAAGTGAATCGTTTGGCGATGAGCATGGAGTCCAAGATCTTGGACGAGATGAGCAGGCAATTATATCAAGGTTGAGCATGGAGTCCAATATCATGGATGCGATGCTACATAATTACAATTATAGCTGTAGCGCACTTCAGCTATGCATTCACCACTGCAAAAATTTTAGAGGAAATCGAAAAGGCCAGCGTGCATGAAGGCTATTTCACTTGCAATCTTCCGTCGCATTTCTAAGGCGCAATGATACATCTATTTGAACTCTCCGGAATGCGTAAGGTATCACGTCGCATTTGAGGGCGTTTTCAAAACAGCCAAGTTTCGTTATCGGACTAATCGTTTTTTATAGTTCATATTATTTTGTTTCCATTTCTAACGACTTGTTTAATAATAATCCTCCTATAAAAACCAACCATTTGCTAAATATAATTCTAGTGAAAGCGCACTTAAGCATTTTTATGACTGTTAAAATGTTAACGGAAATCGAAAAGGCCAGCGTACATGAAGGCTATTTCAATTGCAATCTTTTGTCACATTCTTACAGCGCAATGATACAACTATTTGAACTCTCCGGAAGGCGTGAGGTATCACGCCGCATTTGAATGCGTTTTTAAAACAGCCAAGTTCCGATACCCGCATTATCGTTTTGCATAGTTCATATTCTTTTGTTACATTCCGTACCACTCGTTTATATTTAATCCTCGTAGAAAAACCACCCATTGGCTAAATACAATTCTAGCTGGAGCGCACTTCAGCTATGCATTCACCACTGCAAAAACTTCAAAGGAAATCGACACCTGCTTCAGCGTGCATGGAGACTATTTCCATTTAAATCGCTACCCGGATTATCGTTTTGCATAGTTCATATTATATTGTTTCCATTTCTAACCACATGTTTATTTATAATCCTCCTATAAAAATTACCGATTTGGTATATATAATTGTAGGTGTAGCGCACTTCAGCTATGCATTCACCACTGCAAAAATGTAAAAGGATATGGAATAGGCCAGCGTGCATGAAGGCTATTTCAATTGAAATCTTCCGTCGCATTTTTAAGGCGCAATGATACAACTATTTGAACTCTCCGGTACGTGTGAGGTATCACGCCGCATTTGAAGGCGTTTTCAAAACAGCCAAGTCCCGATACCCGCATTATCGTTTTGCATAGTTCATATTTTTTTGTTATATTCCGTACCACTCGTTTACATTTAATCCTCGTAGAATAACCACCCATTGGCTAAATACACTTCTAGCTGGAGCGCACTTCAGCTATGCATTCACCACTAGGTATGCACATATGCAAGTTTAGGAGGTCTCGGAGCTTTCATTCACCATTGTTTAACCGAAAATCTGTAATTTTTAATAGAAATTGCGAACTTACTGTAAAAAGACCGCTTATTTACTACAAAAATCTTATATATAATATTTCATTAAAGAAAGCAAACCACGCCTCTTCAAGAGAAAGATAAAGAAAGGAGAAAGAACTTATTTGTCAGCAAAAAACGAAAATTTAGGATACCTATTCACTGACTAATGTTTATTAATAATTTCGATGCGGAACATTCAGTATGCTTCTAGCATGAGACCCTTTTTTGCATCTTGATATGATTTGTTTGGCATTCGGCAAAGTAGTTTAAAGATGGAAACAAGCACTATCCTACACGTGGTGTTGGAGGATCGCTCCTGATGAATATATCCGCATTATCATTTTAGTTTTAAGCTTGTTCCTAGGTATCAAACGAATTATAATCGCCCTAAAATCTTGAGATAGTCTTTATTAATACCTCACTACGTTAATAAGAAATTCAGACAAGTTCAATATTATAGAAATGTTGACTGTTGCAATTAGTTCAATGAAAAAACATTGCAATCACTTGTCAATATATTAAAGTACGCCACGCATATGTCATGCTTATTGCAATCGTCGAGAACTCAGCTGCTCGGTAACTACGGGTCGATTGAATCGTTATATAGAATGATCGGATGATCACTTTAGCAATGCTGAAAAATTGAATTTTTTGGACTTGAAAAATCAAACAATAATTTTTTGTAAAACTACCAAAAACAGACATAATTATACATAAAATGAAAGAACTCGTCAAGACCTTCCATTTGAGCCAAAGATCAAGTTAACTCATCTTGATCCGTTGTTTTGTTTAAAGGTTATGGCGATCGGTGGGTTAGACCTCAGACCCCTTCCCCCTCGCGCCCTGGAGGGCTAGACGAGAAAGGTCACAATATTTAGGCCTCTCCAATGATCCGTTATGTTTCCTGAAAGTATGGATGTAAAATCTCTTGCGACCATTTCATATAGAAAATGAGGAAGACTCTTTGTAGACGCAAGATTCAATCGTCTATATGCATTTTTTAATTTCAAAGCTGACTTGTCATGAATTACAAGTGTTCAAACGCCATCTGATGAGATTATTCAAAATTCTATTAAAATTGTCGTTATGAAAATTATGAAATTTGGATAATCAATCATTTTAGGAGGACTTGGGGAGTCCAGGTAGGTATAAAACTGAGTTTTGGAAATGAAGAATGACGGATGTACGTTGTACTCTCTTTATTATTGTGAGCACTCGTGGCTAAGAGTGGGGGACAGTTTAACAGACTTTGACGCTGGCGGAGGCGGAGATCTGGAGCTTGAAGTCGGCCTCGATGAACTTGTAACGGCGGCTGCAGCCTTGGTTCTTGTTGCGGGAGTACAGGTTGTCGAGGATTCCGTTGATGTCGAAGCAGACACTTCTGAAACGGTTGATGAGATCGTCGAAGCACGGGTTGAGCCAGTCGATGATACACTGGATTTCGCGGTTGTACTCGTCGCAGCCAATCTTGATCTTGCGCTTGCAGATCAGGTCGGTAATTCTGCGTAGGAGCTTGTTGACAAGCTTGCGGTATTCGAGCCAGATGCATTCCAGGTCCTTCAGGCACTTGCAACGAAGCTTGTATTCTTTGCATCCAGTGTCGAATTTGATCTGCAATCAAAACGCATTATATCAAATTTGAGCGAATCTACGCCAGAGAGACTATGTCAACACGGGAATTGTCTATAATTCAGGGATGACGAACAGACATCACCGAAAGGCCCCCAATGGGAACCTTAGTCATACTTACCCACAGTTTTCGAGGAGGGGATCCATGAACTGTTCGGAATAATCCTAATGACTCTAAGCAGAGCTACTTACAACATCTCTGAGATTGGGAGAAGTACGAGTTCACTCGTAGGTACAACGGATAACTGATCTTCCAAATGTGTAAGAACGAATGTTAGAACGTACCAACTGCGCCAGATGAATTTCTCGCATCCCTTCCCTCAGTGTACGACACTTCTTAGAGATGTCGTTGAAAAACATAAATTGCCATTTTTGGGGTGCGACTCACGTGGAGTTACGGAAAATGTTATGTTGGTAACAGAGTAGGATAAACGAGGGTTACCTGGATAAGATCGGCAACCGGAACGTAGAAGTTCTTCTTGACACAGAGATCGAACTGGCTGACACAATTGCGGAGTCTCTCATCGATGCAGTAAAGGGAGGTATCGTAGCCCACGACCGAGCTCGGGATGATGTTGCGGGTGAAGAATTCGGCGATTCCTTTCTCGGTGAGGGCACTGTAGATGACGTCGTCGTTGTCGTAGTAATCCGCGCGGAAGTCGATCAAGAGTGGCCACAGGTCGTTGTTGCAATTTAGGATCACTTCGTCGATGTATGCGCGCTGAACGTTGTCGAAGTCGTCCAGACAGTTCAGGTAGTCGCTGTTGATCCTGGTGTGGAAAAATATTACAATAAGTAATTAATAAATATTCCAAGTGTATTCACTTGCTAAAAATGACGAGTTGGGCAGGTAAAGAATTCAGATGATATCAATTTGATTTCTGCTGATGTCAGTAGGATCTCTAATGATACCAATTGAATTCACACGATTCCTCAAAGAGCCTAGTGATATATGTAGAAGAAGCCTTCCTTTTCTCATCCTACTTACATGAGAAGAGGTACGACCGATATAAAGCGAGTTTCAGCCGATATCAGAACAGACGTTGCAGAATGCGAGGCTGCCTGATATCTCCGAATCGCAGATGCAGCGTGTGGATTCCGCATCTCGCATCTATGTGTACCTTTGCGAGCGCAAAAATGTTGTAGCTACTCGGAATGTATGCATTTTTTTGCGTCTGAATATGTCTTTAGGTATATCACCGGCTGTGTAGGTACATGACGATAGAAAAGCAAGTAGCTGAGAAACTTACTTGCGGATGATGTCCCTGATGAGCTTGTTGATGCGACGGATGAGTTTACACAACTTCTTTTTCAAGTTCTTAATGCATCGCTCTTTGCGTTTCCACAAATCACAGCCAGGCTTGCAGTCCAAATCATTCCACAGTCTGATGGCGGTGTTGTAGTCCATGTTGCAGGTGACCAAGATGTTATCAAAGTATTTGCGAAGATAAGGAGAGGGCAAGAGGCAACCACGGCTAAGCTGCGGCTTATAGTTGTTCCAGTCAACAATTTCGATTAATTCGAATTTGCCCTCGTTGCAAAGATCCTGGAGTTGGTCGTAGATGTCATAGAAGCCTATGGCGAAGTTCACCTGGAATGGGCGCAGTTTAGCCATGAGCTCAATGGCGATGAGGTCGATCTGATCCTCTCGGTCCCAGCAGTCAGCAAGGCGTGGGAAGTAATCAATATCCAAACAACGGCGGCGATTGTCGAACTCAATCCTGCGAAAGCACGGTGGATTATAAAAATGTAAAATAAGCACTTTATTAAAATATAAATGGGATTCCTCAATCTTGAAGGGGTATCCGTATACATCTTGTCACTAAGGAGAGGGGTAGGGTTGTAGTAATAATTCTCTATTTGAGATATCAAAACCCGTCTCACATTACAAAGAATGATATCACAGGTCATGAGGGTGCCTTTGAACCCCGTCCAAAACCCCTTCTCCAATAGTGAAACATGTGAGGTACCCGAATCGAATTAAATAAGAAGGGATGGATAGCAAATCAGCATACCTACAGAACTGGCTGGCGTATGAAGATATTCTGAAGCTAATCTTTGGAATTGAACAGTTTGTCGTAACTTTAACCTCTTTATTTCTCAAGTGAGGGTCAAGATTATCAAAAAAGCGAGAAAAACAAAAGGCTCATAGTGCACTCTCCTCTTGCGTAATTTTTTGGCGGTGTCCATTAAGGAGAAGTCGGCTCACCACTAATTTTGACTGGGTAAATGATCATACTCGAGATTATTTTCAACCGAAGTTTCTTTACAATTTTTCGTCCTTATTCTTGAGCAATAGGTACGAAAGAAACTGCATTTGCAATATTCTTCCGATACAGTCGCTCAGGAAGATCATCGCCATGATTAAAATAATTTCATGTTTGATCATTGCTGCGAAACTTTAAACCCGGATTATTAGAGCTCTGTGTGCTCTTTCTTTCGGAATATTCAAGCGTTCCAGATAGTAAACTTTTCAGGAACGACTTCAAAACCAAAACCGGGAAACTTCTCGCTCAACTTTGAATAGTTTTGCTTGCAACTTCTATTGAAACGTGACTGATCGGTAACTCACCAGATAGCGATTAAATTATCGAGAAGCTGCTGCCTGCGGCCACACAGTGGGGAGTTGTCCGGGAAGTTGAGCTTTGCGATGATATCAGTGAGGTATTTGTAGTCGTTGAAGCAGTTGTCGTAGATGTTAATGAGCTCCTTGCAGCGAACGGTGCTGGGCCAGGTGACACCGAAAGAGTATTCAACTCCACGAGGAACGACGAGACAGCGCGCCTTACGGTTGATGTTGTACTTGCCGCAGAATTCGTCCAAAAGGCGGAGAAGTTGGAAGTAGTATTTGCGCAGCTGGCACAGTTCTTTGAAAATGCGCTGGCGGAGATTCTTACGGCAAGAAACGATGCGCTCGGTGTATTGGATAGTCATAAGATTGTACCTGCGTGATAGAACGGGCATTAAAGTGAAAGTTTCATATGTATCTCATCAAGTTATCCTGAGGGATCGCTTATGAATCACGTCACGTGCAAGAGGCACAATGGTGGGTGGATGGATACTTAATGGAGTGGGATGCGATCGAAAAATGTGTATCACCCCATAAAAATTTGTCGATAGTTTCATGGAATACATCAATAAATGATTGAGCCATCTAACTTAAAAAAGAAGGAATATCCGGCAGAACTTTACTTCATTCTGCTGAGAGGGTATTCGCAATCTCACGGGGTTAAAGTAATATGATGGCATTTGCACCTCCAAACTTTATAGTGGTCATAATCTGATTAGAGATCAGTGTCTGACTTAGTTTTGCCGAGATTAGTGTTGGATCCTCGCAGTTGATTATCGTAAGACTTAGGTAGGAATGTTCGGGGATTCGTCTCTCCCATAATACTAATGTCTCCCCTTCCCTCCCAACGTTGAAATAAAAATTCGGTCGTGAGGACCGAACGTTCGGTATTTCATACCGATCGAACCGTTTATTTCGTCAAACCGAACTCACAGTGGGTCCAAGCGTTCGATTCGTATGATCGATTTTCTACCTCGAGTTTTGTCCCATCGGTAAGTTATGTTTCAAAAACTGAACCGTCGATTTGATCGAATGAAACTTTGGTTAAATACGCGGAATAGTTTGAGCGAAATGCAGTACCGAATGTTGGCTGAAAGGACCGCATTTCCTTTCAGTGACATCAGAGATAGAAATTTTTTGCATCATAGTAACTCCTCAATCCAGTATCAACAGGCTCCAATAACAAGGAGGGGGACCTTGCATCCCTCTTTTTCGAAATATTATGAGCCGCGCCTATGATCTCTTCGTTCTATGTCCAGTTTAGTTAAATCGGGGTAGATATAGCGGGACACCTAATCTGCGAGGCCCGAATACTTTATGTAGAGGAGAGATATCGATGGATGAATATTTTGTCTCAGGAAAGATAATTGATGAATTTTTAAAGACTGCACTTACTTGCCGCGGTAGTCGGTGATGAGTCCGCAGGTCTCCTCGTAGACGTTGTCGTAGAACTTGTCGAAGCAGTCTCTAGCTTGCCCAATTTGCCCGTACAGATCGATGATGACCTGGTACTCGGAGCAGTCACGCTTGCAGCCGATCAAGTCGATTTGGTAGTCGATCCAGTCCATGTCACAGCTTAAGGTGCAGTCGAGTTCAAGGAAGAAACCGCCGACCCACCGGTCCGGGCATTTGTTGTGGCAAGGACGAGGTTTCGGCTTGCATGACTTTTTGCACTTCGGGTGAGCGTCCACCACGGCGGCAAGCACCTGAAAACGTAAAGTTTTACAGTCAGAGCGATTGATGATGAGATTTTCGTCGAAATTGTTTGACAATTTTGACTTGAAATGCGAGCTTCAACTAATTCCCGGGAATTATGATGTATCGTCTAGAGATGATTTTCAGGCTTATAATATATAGATTTTATCTTCATTTTGTTTCTTTCAATCAATCCAACAATATGGCCTCATTACTCTTTTTTCTCATAATATACCTATCTCCCATACTTAACTCTAAAAGAAGGTGGAAAGTAACACAGCCGCTAAAAATGATTGATGAGGTGAGTAATGAATACCGAGCTGTCTATTTGCAAGAATTCGGTTTGATAAACTTTTCAGTGCTTTCAAGTGTACAACTCGTGCACTAATTTAAGCTTTATAATACCGATTTCGAATATTTTTGAGTCCTTCAGCCTCTGAGCATGACGTAACTGGTTTATTCTTCAGTTTGTAAAAATTCAGATTAGTTCCTATTATTGCATTCGGAGTATAACAGTATAAACAAAAATGCGAGTAATAGATGGCTGTAGATTCCACATAAGGAATTTAGGCCAATAAACCAACAGAAGAAGATGAAAAAGAAAATGGGAGTATTTTGATGAAAAATGGCGCAATATTAGAAAGTAATAAACTTATGAATAAATCATAGCGGTAGTGCATAGAATTTATTCGGCTTCAATGTACGTTTTTTGCAAATAAATAAAAAAATGACGATATGAAAAAAATAAAGTGAAAGATTACTAGGAATGACATAAATGGGCTCATTTTAAATTATACATGTCCGTAAGAATGCTATTAGGAAAATCGAAATTCTCTGCCGAATGTAGGTTAGGCGGATCCAACAATTTGGCAACACCGGATTCCCTCCATTTAAACCTATGTTAATAAATCCATTCTTGTGGGAGCGCCTGGTCCCTCCAAGAATCGATATGCTTCCATAGATTTAAATGGAGAAAAAGAATGTTGCCAATTTGCTGGATCCGCCAATGGTCGATGCTCTAAATGAGAGGAACTTACGAGGGCAACGCAGCAAACTATGAGCTTCAACGACGCCATCCTGAGCTGAGGAGAACCCAATGCTGGAGCAAAGGGAGAGCGGAGACGATTTTTGCAACCGGGCCCGGAGCTTTTATACCCTGCCCGGCTTTGATCAGCACCTGTTAATTTCGGGATTTGTGTGTTTTTCGCCGCGCAATTCATTTTTCAAATAAACAAGATCCTCCCTCCGAAAAATCCCAGTTGCTCATTAAGCACTCCTCCTGCCAGCTGAGTCTGACGTCACCAAAAAATCACGTCTTGGTGCGGAAGACGTTACTTATCTGCTTGACATCGTTGTACATCAACCCAGCGCGTTTGATAAAAAAAAAAAACGGATTTTTTTTCTCACTGGAAAAAGAGTTCTATTCGGTGAAATCTGGCGACTTTTAAAGCGTCACCGAAGCATAGTCTGCATAGTCGGCAGTATGAGTCATATATACTTAATGGATCCAATTATAATTACTATATTACCACATATACTAACCGTGCTTAACCACATACTAACCATACTTACCCTGGTAAAAATTGGCAGTAGAATCTGTGTTTCAAAATACCGTAGACCTAAAGCCGGCTGTAAGATTTCTAATAGCTTCTGTAGCCGGCTGTACAATTTCTTATAGCCTTTCATAGCTGATGGTGATTAAGCAACAGCCTGACGATAAAGTTTATACTAAACGTTACTAAATACGGATACCAGGACTTATTTAGTTTTTGGACTACCGCTCTCTTTTTGTGCCGTAGTATCTTGATTTATTTTGCGAGGAAAGCTCCGTACTTTTGGAGGATGCCTGTCATTCTTAATATGTTGGAGAGCCTTCAATGTCTTATGATACTGTGCAATACCTCTGGGGTGAAATAGTTGCTTCAGACGCCGTGGCACGCTGCGGCGCGGCGGGCGGGCAGAGTATGCGAAACGCGCATCGGCGCCTACAAACCTAACAGGGATACTTCACGCATTGCGCAATGCGTGAAGTATCCCTGTTAGGTTTGTAGGCGCCAGTGCGTCGCCGCTCCGCTAATGGTTCTATTTCAAAGTTACGTCAATAAATGCATTTATGAATTTCATTAAATACTCGGTTGTTATTCCGAGTGGAAAAAATTGATGACAGAATCTCGTTTAACAGACTCTCTGCTCCAAATTTAAAATGAAAGCAGTAGTCATTGAATGGAGATGTTGCATGTGTGAGAAATTTGCGATTTGACTGTTGATTCTTATGTAAAAGTTTGCGAGAAACACAATGGTGCCACTGGTTTTCTCTGAAATTAACTCCCAAGCTCAAAAAAAGCTCTCAAGTTGAGGCTGTAATGGAGGGGATATCCCACCCTACCCTGAGAGTCCACCTCTACATCAAGACAAACAGACTCTCCATGCAAAGATAGGGAGCAAATGCATTGACAGGGCTGCCACTTTATTTGGGGACTCTAAAACTGAAAACACGGCAGCCCTGCTAATATATTTGCTCCCTATCTTTGCATGGAGAGTTTGTCTTGATGTAGAGGTGGGCTCTCAGGATAGCGTGGGATATCCCCTCTATTTTGGCCTCAACTTGAGAGCTTTTTTTGAGCTTGGGAGTTGATTTCAGAGAAAACCAGTGGCACCATCGTGTTTTTTGCGAACTTTTACATAAGAATCAACAGTCCAATTGCAGATTCCTCACACACGCAACATCTCCATTCAAGGCTGCTTTGCATCGTATCACTGTGTTCTAGAGAGACCCATAAAAAATAGCTCTATAGCAAAAACCTTGAATGCGTGAATTTTAGTCTGCCCTGAAAAATTTATATTTTTCGACCTGAATAACGCTAGAATATTTATATAACTTGTTGGTACAAGGTATACCGAACCGAAAAAAGAAAGCCGCAAAATCGGATGGACACTCGTTTCCCTTGAAATGGCCAAAAATTGGTATTTCCAATGAAATACTTCGATGTTTCCCTTTTCCCGTCGCGGTTTCAAGCACTTCCGATTAGAATTTCGAAATTTCCTATTGTGTGCAGATGCTTCCATCCATAGGTGTTACTAAACCGTAAAAAAGTGAAACTCAATGGCGTGGCGTCAATGATCGATTATCGATATTTCCTCATCCGTAGCTGTGATAAAGAATCGATTATTAAGGTATTCGCTGCGAACACCCTGTTTATCGATACTTTTTTATTGGATTAAATGACCGATCCATCGATATATCGCAAAGCACGCCACGCCACTGGTGAAAATCGAATAAAACCCGAGTTGGTGTGTTTTCGAACTCACTGATTCATTTGTCATTAGCAGTTGTTTATTTCAGGCTTCTCAGATTTTCGGTTTGTGTAGGTTGAAAAGGATGGCAGTGGAGAAGAGGAGGATGAGGAGGAGGAGGAATGGTGGGAAGACACGGGCGAGTGTCGGTTATGGAGGGTCAACACCTACGAGGACGTGATCCGGCTCACGGCAGAGGTGGCCCTCGAATTTGGAGCCCTTCTCTACCTCTTGGCCGCGCTACGAGAGGCCAGCTTTCTCGGACTTCACATGTTCATCGAGAACCTTGTAAGTCATCAAAGACTCTTTGCCCTAAAATTCAACTAAATTTTCAGTAATGAACTGCTATAGACGCTATAAGGATTGCATTTTGCAAAAAGGAACCACTAGCATTGCAATGATGCTAAGATTGTGCAACTTCATATTTTTCAATGAAATGGCGGAAATCGTGAAAAACTATGAAATTTAGATGGTAATTTTTGTCTAGAATTTACAGTTTTTAGCGAGTAAAATAGAAACTATTAATGGATAATCGGGTTTTCCCTCCAAGACAAAAGAAGTTGCACAATCTTAGCAACATTGCAATGCTAGTGGTTCCTTTTTGCAAAATGCAATCCATAAGTGCCACGTCACTCTGTATCGATTGCAGGGCCGGATTAAGGGGGTGGCCACATGGACCGCGGCCCATGGCGGCAAATCTAGGGGGCGGAAAATTTTGCAATATTTTTAAATGTAGGTATAGAACAAAATCGGATTTAGAACAAAAATAATAAAAACGAGAAAAGGCTACAAAATCTCTCATTTCCTGAGAGTTTAGTAATTTCTAATTTGGTCGTCTTTCAGTGATACAAGAGACAGCACCTTTAATTAGTCGAGTTAAGAGAGAAACCAAACACACAATTTGGCCTGGAACGGCGCGGCGCGACTTAAGGAGAAATGATGACGAGAGCTTGAGATGAAAAGGAGAAGCCCTCGGCGCGGCAATCGCCATGTAACACATATTAGCGCCTACAAGACTGCTCGAATACTTCACGCATTGCATCAAACACATTGCGGTTATTGTGGTCAGCGTGAAACGGACAGCGCCTACAAGAATGCATGAATACTTCACGCATTGCGCCAAACACAGTGCGGTCGGCGGAAGTTAAAATCATTAAACCAAATTTTGCGTTTGCTCTTTCATAATTTTTTCGTTAATTTCTTATAAATGGAAGGCCTTGCCCACACAAAGATAGGTTTACGAATCTTTTTCGCGCAAAGTTCAGTGCACTTTTGCTAGTAGTATTGACAGGGCTGTCCCAAAAAATGTGTTCAACACGAGTAAACGCGTCTTATGCACCCCTACCCGACTGGCACGTTCACTTGATGGTTTTTATTGATGTTTCAAAACGAATGAGAAGGGGGCGGCAAAATACAGGCGGCCCATGGGCGGCAAGTAGGAAAATCCGACCCTGATCGATTGTATCGAACTGGATCCAAAAAATCAAACATAACCTTACTATTCAACAAGAAACTACAGAATTTCAGAGATAATTCGCCCAGTTTGAGAATAAGTTGTGTTAGAGAAAGTTTTTTTTTTTTTTTTTTTTTTTTTTTTTTAAATCACGGAACGTTCCTGTATTGTTGAGTTGACGGAATAAAGCAGTTTCAGAAAGTAGAAAATGCCCAGGAGAGCCACCATTATTTAGGCCACTCCTATGCCCCTCCAGTTTCTTGGCTTTTGACGGTGAAATTATGGGAGGGGAGTGTCAAGATGGGGTTAAGTTTGATTGTTTGGATCCAGTTCGATGCAATCGATACCGACTGTGACGTAGCACTAATAGCGTCTATTTCTGGTTCTAATCAGAAACAACATATGAGGAGCTTGGTGGAAGAGGCGTATAGGTGCAATCTTTGAAAAAAATTGAGGCACTAATAATTTCAAGTAAAATTAGTCGTGATGCAAATTCTGTAAAAAATTCGCTGCAAAATTCCAATTTGTGAGCATCGAAAAGTTTTCCGCCATTAAGATCCATGTAATTTCAAAACTTCAACTGCGTGTTTCTCGAAGTTGCAAAATTTGCACGAAAGCGCCTTGTCCTCCAAGCCCCTCATATATGGTATTATTATTCATATATGGTATATTCCCTATGCCGATAGGTATTTTTATGAATGAGCCAGAAACAGTAGTTCCTTGATGCAAATTGGACTACATTTTGCAATTTGGAACTATAAATTCTAGCCCGGTTTAAAAACAACGTGTGTGCCATTAGTTTCCCTATGCACATAAGTGTTTTTCCAGAAGAGCCAGAATTTATAGTTCCAAATTGCAAAATGCAGTCCAATTGTAGTTCCAGGAGCCGAACCTTCGTGAGGCTGGAATTTCACACCTGAGAACCCAAAAGAAATGTTCTAGTGCCTGATCGTTGATTCGAAGCACGTGACGGGTATGTGAAAGTCCAGTAAACATTGTAATGAGCCTAAAGAGATTAACAATGTTGTATTTGGTATTTTGTATTTGGTGTATAAAGCCGATTTTATAGCGCTCTCTGGCGCTCTGCGACTCCTGGCCGCCAAAGTCCCGTATCCTCCCAAAGCCCTTCAGGGAGTTGGCAAATACTCATTTCTTCTAAAAACCCCTGTCGCCACCCTTTCACTGGGCGACCCCTTCGTCTCCTTCGAGGAGGAGCCCTATCAAGCAACTTCTTCAAGCAAGCTTGGTTCCCTGGACAAAACCACTGACAAATTGGACGTATTTACGCTAAAAGGAACTATGTGCACAGGAATTGCGTGTGATATAGTTCATTTTAGCATAGATACGTCCAATTGGACTGCATTTTGCAATTTGGAACTATAAAGTCTGGCTCATCTGAAAAAAAATTTATGTGCATAAGGAAACTAATGGCACATACGTCGTTTTTAAACCGGGCTGGAATTTATAGATCCAAATTGCAAAATGTAGTCCAATTCTTCTGCTTCTGTGCACTTTCACGCGTCACTTTCCTTTCTGACTCCGTTTAATTCTCAACTGGGATTTGTTTGACGTGCAAAGATGACAGTGCCATCCAGAGTGATGTTCCTGTTTTCGTGCCTCATGATGATGGGTGCACCAATATTGCGATTTTCCTGTGAAGACGAGGCGGAAGACATTCTGGCAGTTATGATAATGTTGCTTACGTCACCATACTTTCTCTTCTTTTGCCGGTGAGAAAATTTCATTTTCGGTATTTTTATTATCCTCCTATTTCCAAACAAATATAATAGAATTATTAGAGACCAATTTTTTTTATTATTCCCCTCTGAGCCCTCTCCCTATATATTAATATTATATATTAATATTTTATATCAATATTTTATATTGATATTATATATTATCCCTATATTCCCCAATATTATTGGGCGGACGGGCGCGAGAAACTCACCACGAATACTGCTCGTAGTACGTATACACGCCAAAAATTCTGATCATGTTCGTATTCTGAGTTTCTCCTGGAGTACCTGGGAGAGGATTGCCATCTCTGTGCCGCTCTCTGATTGGTTCATCAGTTTTAGGTCATCATGTAGCTCTAAAGTTGGACCAATGTCAACAGACCCGACCCAGAGGAATACGTATTATCGGCTGAGAGATGAATGATACTCACTCTCAAAGGTTAATTTTCGGATAAAATATCCATTAGAGGTTGATCCGAACTCAAATCAGAAGTTGATCATAAAAAAATTTATATCACATCCAAAATCACGTCTAAACTTTGTCGCCATCCTGTTTGTTTGCATTGGGCCAAACCAGGAGCGGAGGGGCTGGGGTTTATTTACATTGGTCCAACTTTGGGGCTCTATGATAGCCGACCAATCAGAGATCGGCACACTTTTTCTGTAGGAAAAGGATTGAGATGACAATATTCTCCTGTATACAGGTACTAGTACTCTAGTTTCTCCAAGTCTACGCCTTGTTATACACTGAGGAGCTTTCAGATACCGGAGAGTATCACACGAGTATGCAAAAAACGGTCTTAACTTGACCTTAAAAAAATTTTATTTAACAGGTTCACACATTGGACTCTTCATTCATGTTTTTTATTGTCCTCTTTTCTCAACAGTTCAATATTAAAGAGCGAAAAATAGAATAGCCGTTATTTTGAGTTACTCTTAAAATATTGAATGTCGCAATATTAAAAAAGAAATAAAAGAATTGATTTTTAGTGTGTCCGATGAACTTTCGCCACGGCGCACAGCGGATTGAGTCAATGGGAGAGCTCGGGCAAAATGTGGAAACTTTAAACGCTTTTAACTCCGTTTATACAAAACTTTGAGGTTATATAACTAGTCCCATTGGTTTCCTCGTGAAATTCACTCATAAATGCACCCTTTAAGATTTAAAATGTGACAAAATAAACATAATTATTCGTGGTTTTAGTCAAAAATTGTATGTCTGACCTTTCTGATTGACTCGATCCACTATGCGGTGGTCGTACTTATGCGCAAGCTCATGAGTCAAGATTCTTCAATAAGTTTCTTTTTTTTTTTTTTTTTTTTTTGTTGTGGGAAAGAAAAATGATAAGAGAATTCGTGAAAATATGTTGTGGCAATATAGATTTAAAAATGTAAAGTTTGAGTGGTTATCAATGTAGATAGGTAAGTCCCATAGGGTACAAAGCCATGAACGCAGGATCCACACGACCGATTAAAGTTTTCGGGTTTGATTCGATGAATTTTCAGGGGATTCAAGACGGTCGGACCATTCGTCGTCATGATCTACAGGATGGTCATGGGGGATCTACTCCGATTCGTTTCCATCTACATGGTCTTCGTCATGGGATTCTCTCAAGGTAAGAGAGCGGATAAAACTTCACGCACGGCTCATTTGTTCGAAACTTACATTGCAGTGGCGTGACGTGCTTTGTGATGTATCGATTGTTATGCCATTTAAACTTATGGAAAAGGATCGATAAGCAGGGTGTTCGCAGCGAACACCTTAATAATCGATTCTTTACCATAGGTTTAAATGGAATAACAATCAATTTATCGCAATTCTCGCCACGCCACTGTTACATTGGGCACTGTTTGTGTACTGGGAAGATATGCCCTCTGGCTGTCACGCGGGCCCTTGTTACTTAGTCTGAATAGAGCGGAATTATCCATGGAACTATCTCCTACCAAGCCTCCGAAATATTCATGAAAATCGACCCGGTGGATCTTTCAAACAAAATATGACAAGGAATGAACGTTTACATTATATTCTTAAATGGGAGAATTTACAACTTTATCACCTAGGGTAGACCAGAGAAATAGTAAAAGCTAGATGTCAATATTTTATCGATGTTTTGGAATATCGAAATTTCAGACCAAAACAATGTCGATACATCGTCCCTATCGATACATTTATCTCTAGAAATATCGAATAGATTTTTCTTTCTTTCTTCTGCTTAGTTGTGTATTTTACACCTACAGTTTTGTGGGTAAGGAAGGAAACTTTGAAGGATAGAACTTACATCCCTCGGGGATTTATTTACAATTTTTGTAGCAGCCATTCTCATGAAATAATAGAGGAAATAATTGGTATTTCTCCTGGAAAAAATACAAAATTAGTCAAAATTTGCAACGTCGCTTATAGAGATGTGTGATTCCCACGTTAGGCCGTCGATATTTTGGAAGTTCTGCCCAATTTAGGGGCCAATTTGCAGCAGGGCAAAGTGTTAGTAAAATATAGATTTTTAGATTCGATATTTGTGAATATCGATATTTCGGAGCTCGATATAAATCGAGGTCGGTTTCTTTTTTTAAAAAATCGATAGGTCGGACATCGATACCAACCGTGAACATCGGCAATACTATTACGTAGGGGAACGTAGAGACAAACCAAGATTCAACATCTCTTGTTTAGTTCAATTTTCTACCTCGGCATGACTGGAATTCTGAAGTTTGCTTGTCCCTTGCCGTTTCTACTTCCCGGGTTTACCCTAATATAAAAAATCTGAGTCATCATTCCAAAATCTGAATAGAACAGGCTCCTCTAAAGACTATCTCCTGTTGACAGCCACAAAAATCATGAAAATCGGCTCGGTAAAGCGATAGAGGGAACTGCTACCAGAAAAGAGTAAGTAGGCCTGAGGAAGTTATGATAAAATTATTTTATTTTTTTTAGAGTTTTAAAAATGCTTCTATAAGGATACACATTAATTCAGGACAAATTCATCGCAAGGTCAATCAACTAAATTTATTACTTCTCGGTTTAACCAGATAAAGAGTGTAAATCATTAATTTGGTTATGGTCTCTATGCAACTATATTTTTATCCTCTTTTTTTGGTGCTTTCCTCCTCCTCTGGATGGTACTTTTGTATATGCTTAGCGATTCCAGACAGGCTTGTGAGTTTCAGTGGGCAATAAGGACACTGTCCTTTTCCTTTATGAACTATTTGGTCGTGCTTATACCAATTCGCCGAGGTTCCAAAATCTTCGTTGCAAATTGTGCACTTGGTCCCTTCTAAGAAGAAAAACAAACAAACAAATAAACATAAAGCAAGAACTAAGGAAACTCTTGGACAACTACTAATTGAAAAGGGTCTACAGAGTGGTCGATAAATCCTGCTAAAGGTTGTCGATTATTATCAATAGGTACACGCGATTGTAGTTTCTAGAATGCTCCAAGATAACATCGAGAATACCTACTGTACAGCGGGGCTGATTATTGAATTTGATGGACAAAGTGATAGAGAAATAATACACACTGGAAAAAAGCGATCTTATTGGTGGAAGTGGGTGGTTTCAATGGACAAACTAGGTAAGTAATGGACTAACAACGGAAATGCACGCACCAGAGACCCTACAGTTAGTCCATCATTGTTTCCCTTAGTCTATGACGACCACCCGTTTCAACCAATAGGATCGTTCCATACCCACTCCATTTGTCTTCTTTGTCTATCGCTTTGTGTATCCATTTGAAATATCAGTCCGCAGATATTTATCCCGTGTTTCAATCTACTCTTTCCATTTGGGGCGTTCTTCGAAGATATTATTAGAACCTATTCTACGGCCGAGTTTCGCACAGGAAGACCTGACGAACACGTGCATCTACTTATTTTTCGGGGTTTTTACAAAAGAAGATGTAGAGTTTAAAATCGTCAATAAATCGAAAACGAAACAAACCCCCGAGCTAAAGTGCTTTAAAACCACCTGAAGGTAGAACATGAAAGTCAATGTCCAATGCGACCTGGCACATAATTTTGCTGGTTCGAAATATCTGCGTAAGCATGCATGAGAATGTACCAAAATTGGAACATCTAAACTCCTGTTGTTTGCCTGGCGTACAGGTTCTTTTGAATGGCTATGTTGACCTGCATTTAATTTTTTTTTTTTTTTTTTTTTTATATATAACAAGCGGGAAGTTTAAATTTCGTGTTTATGATGTGCACGTAATTTCTCAATTATTAAGAGTTGATTTTGGATTATTCTGCCATGCTAAGGAAGAACGCCGTATGAACATTCGAGAGTTGCCAAATTTCCCTTGATAAAAACCGAATTTACTGAGAAAATTGTGAACATTATTTTCCAAAATTTTCAAAACTTTTGTACGCAATTTGATCTAAAATACGTATCTGAATACGACATTCATGCATATTTTTCCTTGAGATTTTCAGATATTTTATATTAAATTGCGAACAAAATTGTGTGAAAAATTTGAAGAAAAATATTCACAACTTTCCCAGTAACTTCGTTTTGCATTAGAGAAAATGCGGCAACGTCTAAAGGCTCATATGGCTCTTCCTCAGCAGAACAGTATTGTAGTCCAATCGAAGGCACGACGTATGGTCCTCGTTGGAATTATATTTCTTAGACATTTCCAATAATATCAAGAGGCCTCGTTTCAAGCTGTATTGCGCGATTATCTCGGAGGATACATTCGGAGGTTTATCCAAATTGTATATTATAAGGAGACTGCGGCGGAAGAAAAGACAAGCAGTGGTGTTGCATCTTTGCAATACATCGATTGAAACCCAAGGAAAAAAGATCGATAAAGAGGGTGCTCGCAACGAAGACCCTAATAATCAATTCTTTACCATAGCTTTAAATGGAGAAATATCGATAAGCGACCATTCACGCCTCACCTTCGGACAAGAGAAAACCCTCTCCTCTTGAATTGAATATACCAAATTGAAACTTCCAATTTTGAAGCTCTACCATGCACACCTTAAAATATAGTTTAGTCGGTGACGTGTTGAGCAATGTGTTTGATTAAAATTCTACCAAACACATAGTTGCGCTCCCTGTTGAATCCCACACTGTTGTTAAAACAAGTAATTCAAGACATTGTTGAATCCCAGAGAGTACAATTTCCAGCATTGCCAGGATAAGGCCTCTATATAGTGGAATTGCAAAGAGGGGGCATCTTGAAGCTATGGTACCCTCTCCCCTTCCCTATTACTTAACTACAAAGAAGACGTTTACTTTCATATTTACCTTTGGTTTTGGCCTCTCGATCTGTATAAAAAACAAAATAATCCATCAGCAAATTTATCAACGTCTTTCACGAACATTGATAGAAAAACAGGGAAAAAACGATTGGAGAAATTACACACATCAGCCGTAGTGTCTAGAGAAAACCAATATATCTCTATCGCATTACTGTGGGTATCAGTGCATTATTAAATCTATAGGTAACCTGCTCCCGCAAATTGCCAGTATCATTTTATTCTGAACTTTCCTGAGTTTGTTCATTGGTATTTTCAACTCACTTTTGGCATGATTCGGATGAAAGTTTTCGATTGTGTTATTTTCTTGATGATCGGTCACATTGAATAAAAAGATTCTTGAGATATTATTTTCATGTACGTAAAGCGTCGTTTCTTCTCGATAATTTTTTTTCTAGTAAAATCAGCGCAGATTCAACTCAACATCCGTTTTTTTAAGTTAAAAAAAGCTAAAATTGACTTTAAAAGTTAAATCAGCACGGAAACCAAATTTTGTTGACAAAAGACGACACTTTAAGTCAAAATAATATCTCAAGTAAAAATTGTTTCAGTGTGCAAAGCATTTTTCGGAAAATTGACGATGTAGTGATGAAAATCAGTGGCTGTTTACTTTATTGCTACAACAGGCAACGCTTGAAATAAGTGAAAGTGTAAGAGACACAAGCAATTATGGCGCCTTCATTTAGTATCGCGTGTAACGCACCCTTAAAAATGCCAGGATGCAACTATTCGGGCTCCGCGGATGTCCGTAATACATACACACGGATTTGAAGGCGTTTTGACTCTCAAGGCATGCATCGTTTCACCCGGCGCGGGATGGAACAAGCAGAGCATTAATGAGTAATTTTCTCTAACATAAGCCGTATTGCTCTACAGTTTTGCCAGTGAAACTACGAAATCGTACGCGTCTTTCGGCTTATGATGTTATGGGCATCGTTTTGTTCAAACTTGTGTGCGTTTCTTTCTGGATTGTTCTTTAGAAATTTCACACGTTAAAAATATGATTAAAAAATGAGAGAGGATAATTTAAGGAAAGGGAGATTTGGATTACGTTAAACATAAAAGAGCCGAGCCACATCAGATACTGCCAAAAACTGAGCATTTTAATTTTTTACATGAAAGTGGTTTTGCGGATTTTTGTGCTTTCAGTGAATTTTCTGCGGAGTACAAAGCAAATTCTTTGAAATTTTCAAAAAAAATCCGCACGATCGTTCTCTTGTGAAAAATTAAATTGCTCCGTCAAGTTTGGCAGTAGCTGGTGTGGCTTGGTTTCTTTTCTGCTGTAAATGTGGTCCTTCTGTTGTTCGAAGAAAAAGTTCTATACAAATCACGCTCAGATACCTGCCTAACTATTTTGCAA